CACTTTAGTAGTCTTGTTTGTAGTCGTATATAGTCGGTGTGTGGATATGATATCTTTTCAAATTTGAGATTAAAATGACGATCGTTACTTCAAAGCTTTCTTACATTCGGGGAAACAAAGAGCTCCTTGTGGAGCCACCACACTGCATGGTTCGAACATTGTCGTTGCTCTACCCAATTCTTAAGATGGTTAATTCTTTAAGTTTTACCCATTACAAATCACAGAAAAACCTATTGATATTTTGCCACTTTGTAATATCCTTCTAGATTTTGTTTTTCCTTTCATAATGTGGAACATATTGCATGCCAACTTTAATAACCATACAATATATGCCTACCAAATTTGACCAGCTAAAACAGAATCATTCTTCATTACCAATCCTCTTTGCACAATTCGTTTCAGTTTTTTTTTTAAATTTGTTTATTTGTTAGTTTGTTTTTAACCTGACTGCTAAGAAAGCATGTGTATGCTTGTAAGTAAGCAAACAGGGGACCGGAGGCTGTAAGTCCTCTCCGAGGGACCTGGTAATTAGGATTAATGCCTTACCAAAGGAAGCTAGCACATGGACTTGGTTTCGAACCCGGGTCACCGGATTACGAGACCACTGCTCTATACCACTGAGCCATCGCGCCATTTTGAAGAAGAACAATTCAGAAAGAAAGACGTTTCATTCATCATTCAGTATACATGCGGCCTTGCAATGTATGTTTTTTCCTAGCTCATAATTTTATTTGAGGTAGGCAACTTGCTCTTTGATACGTCATTTGAATACGTCTTTCCATTTTTAATCATTCTCAACATTTTGAATGCAGTTCTTACCCCTTAAAAGGCAAATGTCAGTTATAAGTTCATCATATAAAACGTGCTCCCCTTCACATCCTATAATATTTTGTCAAGGATATTAATTCATAGCCTGACTCTATTTAATTAAGGACTCCCATTTTTATAATACACACCCGATGATGTTAATCTTTATAGAAAATAAAATCATTATGCTAAAAGGTGATATGACAAAGGGACGTACATCCGTTAAACAAAATTAACTATTGTGTGAGTATGATTCCTTTTAATTCAATTTGATAATGGAAGGATCATGTCGACCCACCTAACAAGGCTTATTTGAGTATAATACACTCCAAACATTCACAACTTTCAATAATTTTCAATTAATGATTAGCTCAATTGTTCCACACATCTTTTTTTAGACACTCAGGGACACATGTGAGGCTCATCGGAAAAATAAGTTTAATCCATTTTGTTCATTTAATTAAAATTAAAAATGTATTCTAATCTGGGGGTATTAATTGAAGAAAAAAAATCATCATATATCTAGGGGTTACTCGGGTTGGCGAGTTTTGAAATAGGGGATGAGTATTTTCTTCTTCTGATGTAGCTTTCTCTTAAAATGTATTTCCCAAGTGGGGACCCTTTGATGGACAAATATCGTAAAATAGATGAAGTGCCTTATATACAGCTATCCATCCATGGGCATTGGGAATATATATGCGTCGCTAGAAGAAGTTCTGCTCACTCATATTGTTTAACAATGTTAAATCTGATATGCATGACCCTACGTGTTATCAGTGTCTGTGATATGGTATAATATTGAAGCCATACAAAATTGCGCTTTAAAATGATCATGAAGTGCCTCAAAAAGTATTTAAAAAAATTGAGTGACCAGTTTTACCATACTCATCTCCCCCAATATTCTGTTGTATTATAAAAATCGTTAGGAAAACGGAAAATTTAAATTTCGATTTCCAATCATAAATATCTTAATAATCAGACAGGCGATCGGCTTGTAAAAGACATGGGGTTGCTGACTGACCTACAGGTTTATAATTATCATTGCAGCATGAGCTAAATCCAGGATTTTGTTTCAGAATATGAGACAGTGTTACCGAGTCACTTTAATGATAATTTGGTTTCATAAAGTTAACGAATAACATGAATATATCCCTCCATGCGCATCGGGAATCTATAGGCGTCTTTAGAAGAAGTTCTGCTCACTTTGATAATGATAATTTGGTTTCATAAAGTTAACGGATAACATAAATAAATCTTTCATCTGTCTGGCATTGAAATATTCCCTAGTTTAAGTTTGCTCCCTATATGCTCATGTATTTGTCCAACTTTTATCCATCACTTTTCCTAAAGGTTGTGCAGCGGGGGAGGGGGCTTTGGCCTTCTACGTCAGGAATGCTGAAAATGAAATATGGGGCGTTTTACTATCAGTATAAGCACGTCATGCATGGCAAGTGTCATGATAAATAAACACAATATATTAACTTGAGTAGTTATTGACATGACATATGGAGTGTGTCGTTAAGTTATCACGTGTAGAACCCTCACAGTATCTTCTATTTCCGCTAAGGTAATAATGAAAGAGTTAATGACAAAAATTCACTAAACTTGATAATTTATGACCCAGGAAGTTTTTTTCTGATAAAGGCAAACGCCTGACAAGATTCTACCAGCAGGGTCATCTATAGTTGATGAATCAACTGACTGAAAGTATAAGCTGCAAAATGGGAAAGTAAGTAATTTATCGATATTATGAGACAGTTTGTTCTATGCATGTCAACATTCACATTCACCAGGGGGGGGGGGGGGGGCGTTTCACAAAAACTTGTCATCAGTGACAAATGACAGTTTTGTGATATAAGCTACTGAAATCCTTGCTTCTGATTGGTTATCAGCAGATTTGTCACTGATATTTGTCGTTTGTTATTAAAAAAGGCTTTGTGAAACGGGTCCCAGCAGGGCAAATACACGCTATTTGTGAAGTACACGACGGATCAGATCTAAGATATTAGCAAGTCAAGGCCCTGTATTATTAAGAGTTGCGATTAATCCAAATCAATCACAGATTAATCGCAAATGTGTACTTCGGAAATAGGAGTTGCCATTACTTTCAAGTCGCGACTGAGACCGAAACAATCGCAACTTTTGTATAAGTCAGGGCGCTGATCATTGTATTTAGTTCATAGTCCGTTTAGAGCTTGAATCAGACCAAATTTCAAGTAAAATGAAACTATTTATTTCAGATCATCTTCATAAATACAATATGCTTGGTATTAATATATCGGATCTGGGACCCGTTTCACAAAGCCTTTTTATAATGACAAATGACAAAAATCAGTCAGTGACAAATCTGTTGACAACCAATCAGACGCAAGGATTTCAGTAGCTTATAACAAAAACTGTCATTTGTCACAGATGACAAGTTTGTGAAACGCACCCCTGATATAAGTAAATACTATGAACCTGTCCATGTATAATGCTTAATCTTTACACATAGCTGTACAATACTTCATGTTTTGAATATGTCAATCAGACAAAGAATCATAGAGAATAATGCATTTGACTATGGGAATCTCAAAAGGCTGCGAACAATTTTTACAATCAACGTAGGTTACAACCTTGCAATAGTAAATTTTGTTTAGCTAGTTTTCCAGCAGAAAAGAATTCGAATAAGCCGAGGAGGAGGAGGAGGAGGAGGAGGAGGAGGAGGAGGAGGAGGAGGGGGAGGAGGAGGAGGAGGGGGAGGAGGGGTTCGCTTATCAGACAGTGCTCAACATAACCGTCAAGTCGAAAACTCCCACCGACATAACACGAAAAGAAGGTATCATTACAAATTATGAGTAAACTTAATAAGAAGTCATTCCAAAGTCTAATTTGAAACTTTCTGATGGTATGGAGAGGTTAATGAGAAATTACTAAATCATTTAAAGTCTGCTACTGTACTCATACAATGCTCTATCGTTTCGCATGCATAGGTCAACATCTTGTCATTGAAAAAATTGAGCATTTGGCCTTATTTCTAATAAAATAAGAATGATTTGAAATAAGTATTTTACAAAAAAACAAATATTGTTTGATTAGGATTTTATACTCATGTACTTCAAAGTTTCATATATTCACAAAGATAAAATAAGAAGTAGCACTGGACGATTTTAATGACAGAAAGATTATCACAAATGATGGAAGTGAAAGAAAGCATTCCGTGTAGCTTCTTCTTTTGCAACTTCTACTATAGTTGAGAAGACTTAATGAGTATTGATTTAAAGATAAAGGTGAGTTCTGGTCATCCGATTGCATTGTGAAAGAAAAGGTGTGGAATGGGTCAGAAAAAGTTGATCATGTAGCATGTAAGTATTGGTGTGTATTGCAAAGTTCTGGAGTCATCAAAATCATAATAAATTTGACCCAGTCTTGGTAAAGTAACAAGCACTGTATACAGAAAGATGTATATGGGACTACACAAATGGTGTCGGGGCTACTTACCTTGATTTCCTTATCTTTCTATGCTCATTACTTAGCCAGTGTAAATTTCTACCAAAATTGTTTGGCAATTGACATTTATTTGTAATCTTGAACATTCAGTGTAAGTTTCGTTTGATTCTGTGAGAATTCATTTTTTTTTTTAACCAGAACTCACCTTTATCTTTGACTATTAACACTGCTTCTGTTATTTATACTCATACCGAACCGTAATGCTCTAGACAAAAACGGGGGACAGTTTGTTTTCTGGAAGAACATGAATTGTTAACCATTGAAAAGCAAGTGAGATTTGGGTCCCGTCTGAAAAGGCGTTATGATTGCTCTACACCGACCCTGAAACAGCCTCAAAGTTACCTTCGTCCATTGTTATAGAATAAATTGAGAGTATGGTATTGCTGAAAAAGATATCAAATTAAATTTCTTCAAAAGGAATGGCAGGAACGGCAATAAGTTTAATAATCTTGATATAATCTCAAATTAAGCCTACATCAAGCAATTCAAACAGCTTGTCATTTTTTTTTAAATCCTGATGGAAATGTTCGATCGTCATTTCGTACTTATCTCTTCTAAATCGAACAAAATATAGGTAGGCAAGATCAATATCCTTAATAATTATAATTGTAAAACAAAAGCACACTACACGTTATCAATGTAATGAAATAATTGTTTTAAAAGTTGGATCAGAAACAAACGTGTTTGAAATGTCGAATACTCACATCATGAACGTACACAGCTGAGAGATCCGAGTCATAGAATGATAAACATGTCCTTCAATGATGACCAAACAAAACCTGTCCTTCTAAACTCATCCTCGTCAAGCATTAATCAAGGCTACAAAATATTGATACGTAACACTTTCACTTCCTTCGACAGTTCCGCTCTTATCGCTTTCTACAAACGATTATGTTGAACGTTCAACGTTTGAATTGCGCGTCAAATAACAAAAAATGCAGGGCATACAAAGGCAGCGATTTTCCTTATGGGTGATGTATGAGAGTGGCTTTCGGCGGCGGTGGGTGCTAATAACGAGATTATCTTCTTGCCAGCAAGCATCGGAAGAGTGCATGTCGGGCAAGCCAGACCCAAGCTATTAAGCGAGGTTAAAACCCAGAGAGTACTCGGCAGACAAACGCGCTCACCACAACTCCGCGCTCACCAGCTCACCGCGAATGAAGGGAGTTTTAATAAACCCGCAACGCCCCGGTGCAGACGACACATACTCGGTGATTGGTCCACTGCGCATGCTCACATGACATGAATACGCCACGTTGATTGGTCTATAACTTGATACGGTAGAGTAAGGTTCGTATTTCACTGCGTGTCGAATGAGAGTATTAGTGATACACTATCAGATTACAGCCAATCACAAGCTCTAACACGCTAAACCTTAATCACTTAATATTCATCTATTCAAATATCTCCTAATGCTCGCATTGGCTCGTTTTATCTCATACTTTTCAGAACGTCTTTATGTCTCATTTTTGTTAACATTATTTTTTTGTCAACAGACATAATATAACTCGGTATATCATGATGATGACATGCGACTATCGTCTTCTCAATATTTATTATTGCCCACTTAATTTCATTCTGACCACTTACTAATAAGAGCTATAACATTCATTGTTGTAATACTAGTGGACAACGTTATTTTGTTTCCTACTGTGAAAACATAAAGAGGCTAATCTTTTTTTCTTCTCAAGCAATACAGAATATGGATGAAAGTCATCGTGAAAGTGATATTGGGGCCAAGTTGTATTGTTCTGCTCTGCTTCATTCTTCCTACGCAAAGCTCTTCCTCTCTTTCTCTGCGTGTCTGTCTGCGCCTTAATCTATGTATGTGTCTTTTTTGTTTCTCCTTGCCATTCTTTGCCTCTCTGTATCTTTCTTTTTGTTTTTATCTATCTCTCAGCCTGTCTCAACCTTTCTAAAAATTTCTCTGTCTGTTGTTATTTCTTTCTGCATGCCTGTTTAGTTCTGTCTGCATTTTCTTCTTTTCTGTTTCTTTCTCTATGTCTCTTGCCCTCTCTGTTTATTTCGTCATCTGTCGGTCCACTCTGTTTGTCTCTTTCTCTATTGTCTTCTTTCGCTTTCTTTCTAACCTCTTATCATCTTCTCTCTCTCTCTCTCTCTCTCTAGCTCTCTCTGTCTCCCTCTCACACTCTCTCTCTCTTGATCCATCTTCCTCTCTCTCTCTATCTCTCTCTCTCTCTCTCTCTCTCGATCCCCCTCTAGACCCCCCCCCCTCTCTCTCTCTCTCTCTCTCTCTCTTTCTCTCTCGATCACCTCTCTCCCTCTCCCTACCCCTATCTCTCTCTCTCTCTCTCTCTCTCTCTCTCTTTATCGTTTCCTCAGTTCTCTCCTCTCTAACTTTTGGACATCATCTTTCTGACGTCTCTCCTCTACCTTTAAGCGAAATGATTTAATCCGTTTTACTTGGATGAATTAGCGTGTGATGACTGAGCTCTAAGCCGTGTTATAACACACCCTGGCGGCTCACGTGTTGTTAACTACTGAAGATGTTGAACTATGCATGTCCTGAATTTTGGGATAAGGGGTTGCTTCTCGGATGTACAATATTTCTACTTTATATACGCCTCCGTGGAATATGATATCAAAGAAGGGCATGGTTGAAATATGAAAGAACTACATTGACCTTTGTTCTTGTTCAACCCTTAATTAATGTTGTCGGAGCCATGTAAACCGCAGAGAAACTCGGGCCTTCATGCTTAAAAAGTGGGGACATAGAGCCTCATCAAATGTGTAGTCTACTATGATGCATTATTGTAAACAAAGAAGAGTAATGAATTTGTGGGGGGAATAGGAAGTTTCCAGTGAACGAAGTGAACGTTTTCAGAAAACGTATTCCCATACTGATTTTATGCATAATGGACTTTAAATGAATGCATAGCATTTTAAAGTTATAGAAGTCTTATTATTTAATAAAGTATGCACGATGATCATGATCACTATGTTGTTGGAGATACCTCACGTCTCATCATTTCAAGATAACCTTATAACCATAGCCATGCATCCTGAAATGTTAAAAAAGGACTGTCACTAGATGGTATGTTAAACACAGATTGTGTGTAGAAAGTATTAGAAGTGGTCTTGGTGACCGGGGTCACAAAGTTTGCTTTGCAATTCCTTGCTACTCTTCCAACATCGCAAGCTTCATTCACATACGAATCCTTATACACATCTAACACACAAAGCAACACTCCACCATCTCGAATTACTCAGTTCAAAATGGACGGATTCGCGAAACTAGAGTGAAAAATTGCAGTGCTGTTCACGGCGAAGAGATGCGCTTTTTGAACGCCCTGTTGGGATTGCGCCTAACTCGTTTACAGGACATTAAGGAGAAGTCACGCGCGTACACCTCCACTCATCGAAAATTGGCTTGCGTTCCGGCTTCCTAAGTTATTGATCTATGCCGCAGGGTAGTTATTGTCTTAAGATGGGTTCAGTACCAGTCTTATCTGTCAGCATGCGACGCCATGCACGAGATTTTGTATCTAGACGATTAACCTTCGCCACTAACTAACTAACGGGCTACGAGAATAATGTGATTGAATTAAGAAACAATCTTGACCGATTAAAATTCGATTAGAACTTAAATTAATCCATTACAGAGTCGTAGTTGATATATATGTAAGGATATTGTGTAATTGGACTAGTTACAGTTGTTATTAAGTCTTTTAAAAGTCAGTTTCATTACGGAACTGTCCCGACAAAACAGCGGCTTAATAGCCACCTTTTGCTTTAATACACTAAATCAAACCATAATACAAAGGATTATCAGTACTAGAATTATATAGAACTCATGTCATAAAAGAGACCAAACTTTGAGTATGCACATACGAGTCATGGTTATAAAGTGAGACAGGGGTAAAAGCCACATTTAATATCTAGCATGCAAACTAACACCAAAAAAATATCACGAGGATAGATATTTAATTCATTCCATCTATTGCATTCTCCATAAAAAAACATTTAAACATACAAACATGATATACATACAGATAAAATATCGATTACAAGAAAAATACAAAGGGAAGGAGCAAACAAGATTGTATGGGAATTTTAACAAAAAGGGCAATTGGCCTTATGAACGTCAACCCCTTAAAAAGTATATATTGTTGAGATAAGAAAAGAATGACAAGAAAAGCAGAGAAAACCTGAACCCATTACAAAAGAAAACAAAACGGAAGGAGAACGGAAGGGGAGGGGGAAAATACAACGTGCATTTACTGAGGTGTTACGTCATTTAATTTGAGCTTGAATACAATGATAACAGATGGGATTCATACAATCGTTTGAAAATATTAATTGAATTAGAGTTTTTCATATCAAATAGAGAAGGCCTTGAAAAATATCATTCATAAAATTATATTTAGTCAAGTACAAAAAGCTATCAATCAACTATCAATTAGAGGATACAAACAAAAATATTTTGGGAGATATTTCTGGGCAATATTCTCTGAAGCTATGTAAGATGTGATGCCCAAGCGGGCGTCATTTCAAAAGTGCGAGAATTCAACTCTTGTTTTTACTCATTACCAGGCTAAATCAAAGAAACCTTGCTTTTTTTCGTTGTTCAAACTGACAAAAATCAAAGAAATCTGACACTTTTGATTAACGTTATTCAAAATTAATACAAAGATTTTAAGTCAAGCCATGGGAGATAGCTTTAATTCCTTATTTTACTGTTTAAACGTACTATAATCTTTGTACCGTGACCTCCTCTATAACTGCTTTAAAGGTAGTCAGTCATGATTACGATCTACCTGTGGTTTAGATAGGAAAGGTAAAGAGGAAGCAAGGTTGTTTGCGATCTAAGTTAGATAACACGACAAAGGCCGGCCCGCAGAAAGAAGCTAGCCCGACCGAGTCGGCATACTTTGTAAATAGAAACCCGCTCAAAGCTCGATGGATAGGGTAAATGTGCTTTTGCTTCTTGTCACCGGTGATAAACTAGTCAAGATGTTTTAATCATGTCATTGTGTAGGATTCCAGTCTTATGTTTACACCAAGTATTCCCTCTCACTCAGGAATTCCGTGACTTTGTCGTCAGATAACTAGCCGGTATGTCTATGGCGATGCGGTGAAACACCGCGGGCTAATTCGAGTTAAAGACACGCAATTCGGAGATTTGTATAAATTGGGCGATATTGTTGAAAGCAATACGCCGTTTGACTGGTCGCTGTTCGGGCAAACAAATTGAACATGAATATAGGCGGGTATGGGACCAAGGGGGGGGGGGGTTCTAGTGTCTGTATTATAGGTTTTACCAAGACGGGAATCATATTTCTCATTTTCATTGCAATTAAAACATTAAAATGTCTTCCCTATCAGACGGGTACATTGTAGTTTGTTTTTTTCTCATTCTGTCAAGTAACTGGAATTATCTTCCTCAAATATGTTAAGGAATTTTTACAATGAGTGCAGTGTAGATCTTTCCTTAATTGTTCTCTTTATAAACTCATTTTCATAATCACATTTATTTCCACATTTCCAATTAATGCTAAAATCACTCAGCTTAAAATTAACAATTGTTCAAGTCCTCTTATTATATCTCATCCTATTTTTCCAATTTCCTACTTCTTTTTCTTTGTTCTCACATTCTGTCATGCAATTCTCGAATCGACTTTTACAGGTCATCACATTCATCATTATTTTTTCCACCATCGCCATCAATATCTTTATGATCACATCCATAATCTATAAGAGCTTACCAAGATAATCATCCCATGCATGTCATTATGATCTCCACTCCTCAGATGTAATTATCGTCTCGAAATCAATGTATCTTAAAGAAATGGATGGAATTAAAGAAAACGATCGCATAGACTTTCGAGAAACCATCTCAAGGGAGACTTCAGAACCTCATTGTAAAGCATTATAAATCATGTTCAGATTACATAATACGTCAGTGAATTGATCGCAAATT